GGAATTTTGTATAACAACATCTATAAGCAAAGGTCTAGTTCATCAAATTATAGCAATTTACATTTGCTCACAGTATTAAGCATCTTTTATCTTCATCTGGTTAAGTTCTGGCCAAGTAGCCATCCAAGCTAAGTTAGATGGGTACTAGCTGCAAGTTTTGGAGTTTACGCAAGCCTCCCTGCATTTCAGACCAGCTGGCTACTTCACTCTCAGCTCTAGATGCCACGGGCTAAGGAGTTCACAAATCTCCCTAAACTTCTGACCAGCTAGGCCTTCTTCTTCTCTCTTTCATCTTGAAGTCATCGGGTAAACTATGAGCTATTTTAGTAGGTTCTGGAAACAATTTGTTGTTAAGTGCTGTCGAGTCAGTTCTGACTCATAGCGACCTTGTATAGAGTTTCAGAGGCAAACTGGTAGGTTTGAACTGCCGACCTTTTGCTTCTAAGTCGAATGCTGATCCTATAGTGCCACACCAGGAGTCTGGAAGTAATTTAGTGAGTCAAAAAAACATTTAAAAGGTATGATAAAATAGAAAGTATCAGTAACTCACATGGATGTTTTGTAACATGCTTGTTTTGGAGGGAACGTGAGATTGCAATACAAAGCATGTTTTTTCATGGGGTGGATATACAAAGTTTGGATGCCACTCTCCTCCCATTATGATATCATGTCATTCTTTTTTGACCCTAAAAATCTCAATTATTTGTGGAAATGAAAAACAGCTTTTCTTCTGGAAAAACATTTGAGGAGAAATAAATTATAAATAAGAGTCTAAAATTTCATCATTTAAAAATATGATAGTCATGAAAACAGAGGAATTTGATATAAAATTGAATTCTTTCATCTATGTAGGACTCAAAAAATTACCTTTGAGTTACAGACCCAATAAATCTTAAGGCTCTAAGAGTCCTGATGGGGACCGCGAGGTCGGTTTGAACCACAGGGTCTGTCGTCTGTGGTTCAAACTCAACAGCTGCACCTTGGAAACCGTATACAGGGTCGTTATGAGTTGGAATCAACTCAATGGCACTTAACAACAAGTGGCACTAGTGTGATGCTGTGGGGTAATGCACTGGATCTCAAAGTTGGTTTGAACTGCAAGGTTGGTGATTCAAATTCACCAGCTGCTCCTCAGAAACCTTATACAAGTTCGCTATGAGTTGGAACCAGCTGGACAGCACTTAACAAAAAGTACGACATAATTTCCATGTAGAAGCCCTGGTAGTGTAGTGGATTACGAGTTAGGCTGGCTAACCACAAGGTCAGCAGTTCAAATGTACTGATTCCTTCACAGGCGCTTTCTGCTCCCATAAAGATTTACACCCTTGGAAACCCTACAGTGTTGCAATGCATAAAAACCAACTCGATGGCACACCTCTTCTACTACTACCACCACCATTATTTTTATGAAGCATTATCTTAGGGAGTTTGACTCTGAAGTAATGGCACTGTACACTTGTTTTCTTATATAGTGTAAATTTTTAAAAATTTCATTTTAACCTTCCTTCCTTTATTTTTCAGTAGTGTTTTTAAGTAATTTAAATGTACTATTATGCAAAATATTATGCAAGGAGCCCTGGTTGTATAGTGGATTAGGAGTTGGGCTGCTAACCTCAAGATCAGCAGTTTGAAACTACCAGCCATTCTGCAGGAGAAAGGAGATTTTCTGCTCCTGTAAAGATTTACAGCCTCGGAAACACTATGTAGGGTCACTATGAGTCTGAACCAACTCCATGGCACACACCACAATTATTGAAATGTATTATGCAGTTATTAAAATGTATTATTAAAATAAGTTAATAAATGCATTGATTTAAAAAAAAAAAAAAGTCATCTGAGTGGCCTTTCACCTATGGCTTATTATAGTAGATTGTAATGTTTATATGGAGTCCTGGTGTGGCGCTAGTCCAGTGGTTCAAATCTATCAGCTACTCCTCGGAAACCCTATACAGGGTCACTGTGAATCGGAACCAACCTGACAGCACTTAATAACAACATTTATATGTAACATATAATGTTTATCTTTAACATTGAGACTGACTTAACAGAAATATCCTATCAGTTTGTGAAATGACAGTGATATCTTGCAATAATGAGTAGAAGTACTCAAAGGAAAGTAACAGTAATAAACTCCTATTTAAGAAAAAGTTTTCTCAAACAGAAGTACTGGTCCAAGCATCAGACTACAGTCCTGAGTTATTCTTGGATGATTTCTCAGACTGTTGCAAAAGCCTCAAAGATAAAGATCTATTAGATTATACTATAATATTTTTATAGAATTGTTTAATATTTCTGTCCTGCTAGTTCTAAGGATCAGTAGCCCTATAGTAGGGAATACTCTCCAAAGGCAGTCCTTTCTCAGGGCTGCCCAGAGGAGAGTACTTTCTAATGGTGTTCATAACTTGTTTTCTCAATCTTATGCTATTAATTTTAATATGTTTTATTTAGTAAAAGGTCTTATAAATACCTTCCCTCTTTTCTCTGTATACATTCCTCAGATAGGTTATAGCTTCTTGAGTTCTTATTTATAACTACTGTCATGTACTCCCATCTATTTAGTATCTTTTCAGGTTTTGATGTATTCCAATACTCTGGTTATTTCCTTAATGGAGTCTAACTCACAGGGTTGGTTATACATGAAATAAATGCATGTAAAACACTCAGCTCATTGCCTGTTCAATCAGTAAATGTTGGTTTGCTGTTGTAGTTGTCGATGTTATTATCCAACTTTCAAATGTACATCTTGTTATCAGTATAATCAAATGATCAGAAGTAATGTTTAGTCATTTGGAATTTAACAAACATTTATGGTGAAATGTTTGTACCACTGGGTTCAGTGACACATTGGCCTTTCTTTTACACTTAAACTAAAGGTATTGTTGATGGTTCGTTGTGTTGTTATTGTTGTTAAATGCTGTTGAGTTTCCAAAGAATGACTGGTGAGTTTGAACTCCCGACCTTGCAGTTCAAACTGACCTTGTGGTCCAGTGCTGATTCTACAGTACCACACTTGGACTTTGATGGTTCATTGTTGGTGTTGTTAGGTGCCATCAAGTCGGTACTGACTCATAGGACCCTATGCACAACAGAACAAAACACTGCCCGGTCCTGGACAACCTCACAATTGTTGCCATGCTTCAGCCAATTGATGCTGCCATTTTGCCAATC